CCAAGCCACTTTTTTTTTAACAGCTCCCTATTGGACTCCTTTTACCCAATCACCAGGATTCTCTGGCAAATAGCAGCAGACAACTTGAGGTTACTTGGTCTCCAGTACTGGCAGGTTTCGAAAAAAGGCGGGGCTTTGGGAGCATGGCGAAAATCGCCATCACGCCATGGAAATACGTTTGCCTCTCATTTCTTCAGTTATCGAGATATCACCTCGAAATTTGTTGTGAGTGATCCTAGTCTGATCTGCAATAGAAATGGAGAGCTAAAATTTGTGGGCGTGGCCTATTTTCAGAAATGGCGTCCCCTAGGACCATTAAAACTGTCAGCCCCTAGCCATGCTTTGACTGAGGATTACGAAAATTGGTACACTAATGTGGTGTCTCCGGACCTACAAAAAAGTCTCTTGGAGCCAAGTGTAAAGTCGCACAGGAAGTCGGCCATTTTGGTCCAAGTACGCGATTTAGTTGTTTTGGCACACGTTGTTTGGAGAGTGATGCTCCGTTGCCCTTTTCACCAATCGCCTTCAAGCTTCTGCTATTTACTCTTAAGACATAGGGGAAAAAATTCAACCGTCGGATTTTTCAAAAGTTGAAAGGTGTGGGCGTGGCTAAGCCTCAAACATTGACCTTTCGCCATTACTTTACTTGACTTAACTCCCATGTGCATGATCAGATCTTTTTCGAACTTTGTCTGTGTGATCATTGACCATATCTTTAAACAATGACAATGTGGACAGCTGACATCACCTAAGCCCCGCCCCCTGAATACAGGAAGTTATTTTTTTATGCTGAAATGCCCATATTTGTCCCCTCTAATTTAGTCAACATGACACCAAGGTCATGCACTGTCTTCATGATGCTGTAATGACCATTCAGATATGATAGCTTTCCAGAAAGGGAGGTGCTTTGATGCCATGGCGAATTCTGGCGTAACGCCATAACCTTACAATGTAATTTAATGGTGAGCTCAGAGGGGATGCTGAGTCAGGGTGAGGTGCGGACTAGGTGGCCATTTGTGGTTTCTGGTTTCGGGGTGGTTGACGTTTCTGTACTGCTAGATGTGCCTTAGTGCCCCGGACTGCCGGCCAGGCCGGAGCGGCGCGGAGCTGCGAGGGCCGAACGACGCTGCTTGCAGCTTTAATTTTAATTGATATTCCACAGTTTGAAATGGGAACAATTTGATTTTTGATGATTGGATAATGCTTTCTGACAGCAGTTTATGGATTCTCCCTCTAGGAGATAATCTTTACTAACCTTATTTGTTCACGTTTGTGTAAACAGCATTGTTTGACATTTTATTGGAATGATGGAAATACCAAGCAGTCAGGACTTACCAACACTCTTTATCCTTACTAAACTGCTCTAAATAGTGCAAATTTCCTCTGAGGACGATCACGTCTTCACGTTTGACTGATAATCAATGGCATTCTTTAGCACAGTTTATGAGGTACATTATCTTTCCACTAAAGTATAAACCACAATGAGTTGAGATCTAGAAGTGCTGCATTGATTATCATGCATCGGGGTTTTCTGCTGCAAGATGGACATGTGCACATATTTGATGCAAACTCCAGAGGAGAGATTAGTTAACTCCTTCAAGTGATGACTCACTCTCTTTACTCGGAAATGAGGGTAAAGTTAGATGTGCTGATTGGCCATTCATACTCCTCTGTGTGTGGTAATGGCGCCCCTACACCATCAATTATTTTAAGCCCAGAAACACACTGCAGAAAAAGTCTAACAGATTTACGAGAACGCAGCACCAATCATCAAACTGTGGTAACTCAAAGCAGCCCCACGCTAAGCCTGGACTCAGTTGATTTCTGCAGAATTTTTCACGAGAATGAAACTTTTTGCAGGAAGCTGAAACCTTTTCGTGCAAGCATCCAGACGTAATCAGAAAACCCAGCTGTCAAAATGTACACCTGTACTTTTCCAACAGGAAGATAAAGTTCTACAGGAATGTACCAAAAGTCTGAAATCAATATTTTTCCTTCTCGGCGTTCCACAGAAATCACAAAGTCCCAACAGACATGTCACACGGTTTAACAAGAAATTCTATTTATTTGTTTATTATGTTTCTGGGAAGACTGTAAAACAGAGATGAACAAATGACAAAAAACAATCTACATGAGAAGACCAATTTTCACAAGCAAATGATCTTTCTTAGTTCTGCAGCATAAATATATGTTCTTTATAATTACGGCTTTAAAAATATGTGCACAAAGTTAGAATACTTCTAATCATGCTCTAAGATAATGTACTATGCAAATACATATGTTTAAACTTGATCCATTCAATGGCAATCATTTAAAAAGCCATCACATATTACACCTCCTGCAGTTTTGGCTGAAGCAGCTGACCTTGGTTTTTGATATGGGCGACCAGGGCATTTGCTGGCAAAATGGGGAGAAAAAGTAAACTCTTTTTTTTTTTTTGAGACCACGGTGCTTAAACGTCATGTCGGTGTGTGCACTTTAGTAAGCAAACAATCCTCAATTGCAGGTCAGGGAGCAGCAGGGTGTGTTAGTTCAATTCGTGCTACAGAGGGAGGAAGATCTGCTGAAGAGGCGGAAAGTGAAGCAGCATCTAATCAGTTCACAAAAACACAAAACCCCATCAGAGTATGTAAGATAGACAATTACATTTTGAACCAATTAATTCTTTAAATTATAAAATCTATTTTTCACAGTTGTTTGCACCCCCTTTGTCCCTGCTGGCTGCTGCCTGTTGGGAGCTGAGCGTGGAGGTGGTGGTGGTGTGTGTGTGCGTGTGTGCGTGTGTGTGTGTGTGGGGGGGGGGGGGGGGGCTGTTTGCCCAGCGCACCAAATGGGCTAGCACCGCCTCTGCAGACAAATCACCTAAACTAAATATACAAACTGTGATTAAGAAGCAACATTAAACAAGGTCATGTTTTTACACAAAAACATGAACCGGGTAAACCCTGCAGGAGCTTCTGATCATGTGGTGATGGAATCTCAGGGTGGTATTCCCAGTAGTTTATCCATCATTCCCATCAAGATGCGGAGCAGGTGTTACACAGACAGCACTGCATTTATGAATCACTTTTTATGAGATCACTGGTCTCATTCAGCTTCCACCGACGTTTCAAACATCTGTAAGTGATCATAATTTCACTTCCATTAAGTGCACATTAGCCAGAGCATTACCAGCTGAGAAGAAAGATGGCGGGCAATGCATCATTCGGAGGCTAACTTCCTCTGAGTTAATTTCATGAACAAGTAAATCTGGATATTTTAACCATTTGGTCTTTGATTGTTTAAGTCTTGATTATTTTCAGTGGCGTTATCTTCTCTTTTGTTCTAATTACGACAATGCCAGATGTAAAACACATTCTCATTCAGGATCTTTTAAGCTTAGGGACTCTAAAAGCAACAAGCACATTTATTATTATTTATGTAAACATGTCACCCTTCTGTCTAATGAGCCTTTCACCATAAGCATAATGAAACAGCTTGCATTAGCACAGGCTAAATGAACAGCCGAGAGCTCCCATGTCTGTGCAGCAAGATGAAAGCAGATGTTCCCAAACACCGGCACCACAAACCAAGTTCTACAAAGCAACAGAAGGGACTTTGAACCAGCGTTGCTCTCGTCAGCTCATTGACTCCATTAGAAAAGTCCCCTGGTTAAGCATTATTATGTGAGAACAACACCTACATGAGCCACGACCAGCTGACCATGAATGAGCTCTCTAATGGATGTTTTTTCTCCCGTCCATAAACACGTTAGTGATGTACAACTAATGAACTCAGACTCATCACAATTGTCGGTTAATAGACACATCAAAGGTGACATGACAAAATCAAAAAGATTGAAAACTGAACTCAAAGGTGAGAGGGCAACGGTTCTGCCGATTCAGAGTGAATGGACCAACAGGACTTCGGAAGAGACTGTCAAAACAAACTAATGTTTTAAATAAAAAATATATGTATAAATAAATAAAAATTGCCATCTCCTTCAAATTAATTCCCTGAATTATGTCACCGCTTTCTGAATTTAACTGAAAATCAAAGAACACCTGAAAACGGTTAAATTAGTTATTTAATTAAAGTAGATCAAACTTCTGTTGCATTTTATTTAATATACTCTATTTTCTTGCAACTATTTGTGTGCTTGTTAAAGTAAAGACAACCATAAAAGTAAGTGTTCTTGCTGTCAGAACGAAATATTTAACATCTGAAAGCAATGCATCAGAAAACTTTGAGCAAAATGTCTTATTGTAGTCAATGTGAGCGAATCAGAGGATGTTTTAGAATTTTAGATGCTGTTTCTATTAAAGATGACAAATAAGCTGCTGGTGTGGCTGGGGGTTTGGAGAATGACGCACATATGTCACAAAGTTGTGCTGCAGTCCACTTTTTCTTTTGTTTTGTGAAAAATTGTGTCTGTCTTTCTCAAAACTGTTGTTCACGTATGGACGTGCCCTTTCTGAGTAATAACCCTATTTGACAAAAATAAATAAACACTAAAAACTCTGATAACTTTTGTATGTTAGATAACATGATTCAGTTATGATACAAAAAATCTTTTAAAATTATAAACCAACTCAACACTGCATGCAAATGTGTCTTTTTATCAAATGGTTTATGAAAAGAAGTAGAAAATGCATCTGTTCGCTGCATGCAAGCCTTTTCATCATTGTGGCACATGAATGTTTTTATTGAACACAGTGTTAGGTGTGTGCATTTGTTTAAAAGTTTAAATGACTATTTTCACTTTGGTACACTGTTTCTGCATAAATCAACATTTAAATGAATTGGATCTATCCATTACTGTTAGACTGTTTCCCTTTATAATGGCCGCTTTGCTGTTGGAGATGCTACCAAATGTGCACAGAGGGGAAAAAGTTTCATGAAGAAAGGAGCGCTAACTGTGAGGGATTACACTTCAGCTAAATGCCGTTGATTTTTATCGCCTTTAAGGAACCGTTGCAGAAAAAACATGGAGCTATATCCAGAAAGCTGCTGATCGTTACCTGTACCAGTCCAGCCCCTTCTCGTAGTTCCTATCGAAGAAGTGCGGCTCGTTCCCAACTGCTCTGACGTCCGGGTGCACTCTGAGCGCCTCCAGCAGGGCTCGGGTCCCCCCCTTCTTCACACCGATTATGATGGCTTGTGGAAGTTTCTTCTCTCCGTAATCCGAGGTGCAGTTCACCCTGAGTTCGCTGTCCGTGGTGCTGATTTCCTGATGCTCCCTCTCCAGCGCCGGCGTATGATCCAACGCCGCCGGTTTAGTGGGAGACACCTGCGTCCTAATCCACTCCACCGTCCGTTGTTCGGCCTCATCGTGGCTGTTCACGGTGGGGAACAAGCTCGTTCTCTCGGTAAAACCCTGCGAAGCCGAATAAAGTTTCTCCCTCAGTGTCACAAAAGTTGTTTCCTCTGTCACCAGCCTCCCCTGATACACGTAGTTCTCTTGCAGAGGGAACCGCAGCGAGTTGTAGCAGCTCATCAAGCTATAGAACAGATAGGTGACAGAAAGGGAGAGGGTGAACATGAATAAGATTTTCCGGGGCACTTTAGAGGTGAAGACCGAAGTGCTGGACCAAAATGCCATCTCTGACAGCAGTGATCCTCTCAAAGAAGTGGCCAGACATGTTTCCACCCCGAGTCTTGCATGGACAAAATCAACAGTAATAATCAGTCACCATCAGCGCTGCTCCAGCTCAAAAAGCCACAAGCTGGACCAAACCATCCCAAGCTGTCCAAATGGCATATTTATCAGGGTGGCAGGGAAATAGATCGTTCAAATTCCAGGAGAATACCACGTCCCCCTTCTCTTATTCCAAAGCTGACAGACAAAGTCACAAATTATCGGATTGAACTTGCAGATTTGAGAGGCTGGTGGTCTGGCGCCCTTCCAGATGAGCAGCCTGCTTTAAGTGGACAGAGTATGATAGATGAAATCCTGGCAATTTATGAGGAGCGTGCAGGAAAAAAACAACAACGAAGGAACAAAAGTGTCTTGCTTCTCATCAGCTGCCCAGGTTGAAGCCCAGTCCCGTCTGCGATTCAAAGAGTACATTTCCACCCAGCCAGAAACGCTCCAAATCCACTGAGTCTCCTCCAACGTGAGACAATCAGAGGCGTAACCATTTGCGCTTTTCTCTGTTTACTTTGTGTTGCAGAAACTCGAACAGCCTTTGCACAAAAGCATCCACACTTCCCACTGAGGCTTCCGCTCTACGCCTTCTCACATTGGTAGGATCCTACGATGTGCGCATCGGCTGTGTGAGCTCATCTGAGCCGAAGCATCGTGGAACCAAACAGCACAAGTGCGCGTACACCCACCTTTCCTCGTGTCCGTGCACAAATAGGGCTACAAACGTCATATTTCTTCATCTTGAGATAGTTGTGTGAAGAAGAGGCTTTTCCTCGCTCCTGAGTGCTGGCAGAGCTCAGACTCGCGCTGCTGGGATGTCTGAGATCTTATCATCACATGAATCCATTCACTCTAGATTGGGCTCACAATGAAACTCAATCTCAGGGAGATTATTTAGATATATTTTTTTAGAGAAAGCTCATGCCTGCACCCTGCTGGTTTTTTGAGGAGCACTGCACAAAAATCTGAAAAAATAAAGTTTGTTTTCAGTAATGAGTCGATGTAGATGAGTGTCGTAAACTGAAGGGTGGAGAGAAATTGTAATCTTCTCCTAAAAGGGAGCTGATGCAGAAAACAATCACACATTCTGCACCATGCTGCTGCTCAGACACAACACACGCTGGATTTATGTTACGTTTATGGAAGCAGACTGTAATTACTAACTGGAATATTCAGTGGACCTTAACTTGTACACTTTGTTCCCACAATATGATGATCTAAAATTACATGTCACCGCCATGTCTCCCTGAGTTAGAGAATCTAATTCATCACACACCAGGAGAGCCACCGTCACAATAAGTAATCAGTCACAAATAATTTGCAGTGCAGGGTTCTCAAAAAAATAAATAAATAAGCCACTGCTATTTTCACACATCTCTGCTATAGGGAAACGCTCATGGGCATTTATTTGCTTGAACAAATTTACTATGCATAAATGTTTGCAAGTGGATGTGAATTTTTTTAATGTTTAAAAAATAGGAAATTTGTGTTATAGCAAAGGTCATCAGTAGGTTGCCTTGAGCATTCACCAAGTGCCCTCCGATCAAATCATATTTTGATCAAATCATACTTTGCATCAGCATCACTGACTTTTCTTATACTAAACACACACATATATATATATATATATATATATATATATATATATATATATATATATACATACATATATATATATATATATATATATATATGTATGTGTGTGTGTGTGTGTTTAGTATTTCTGTTTTGCTGAATAATGTGATTTTTTTCAGTTTTTTTTTTTTTTTTTTTTGCTTTGCAACATCTGATTATCTGGTTTTGAATTAACAAATGATTACCAGGCATTTGCTGCTCTTGAGAACATCATGAGGAGGTAATCCAACTGCTTGAATCAGAGATCCTTTAGAACATGCAGGATGGGTTGCAGGAGTCCAAGCTGGTTATGGAGATGGTTGAGTGTGGAGCGAAACCTGGAGCAGAGCTGGGAAGAGTAGTCAGGGTTTTCTGGCGACAGGAAATCCAGCAAAATTCACAAAATCAAGTAAGGCACACAGGAACTAGAAAAACCACGGGATCGAGACAGGTAAAAGGCTAGAGCTACCCAAACAGAGTAATCATCCGGCGAAGTGAAATGTCACACTGCTCCTTAAATCCTCTGGACCTTGATGACAGGATTAGCTGCAGCTGGAAACTCTCAGACACGCCCACCTGAAACAATGGTCAGAGGAAAACAGGGTTATATGTAGGAAGCTCACCACGGACCGTGACAGTATGAGGATTGCTGTAAAGTCACTGACACTAGTCAATGACTAGATGCAAAAAAACAGTTGTCGGCATCAGTGCTGTAATAACTTCTACAATTATAACTTACACATTACTTTTTCTCAGCTTATACATGCAATAATTTATTGAAGGCTACATGTCTACTTTTTAATGAACGGGTAAAAAATAAACAATCTGCACTCTTTTAATCATCTTAAACTTTTAAAACTATTTTAACATCTTCAGTATCCTGCTATGCTTACACATTATGTGTGCGCTTATATAAACAACTGTATTGTACTCTGCTCTGGTAACTATTGTCCATGATGTAAATATGTAATAACTGTGCTTCTGTTCTGTGTCCTGCATTGTTTGTATATGTGTGATGTTGCTGCTGACACAACCAAATTTCCCCTTGTGGGACTATTAAAGGATTATTCTATTCTATTCTAATTTGCTGATTGACTTAATGAACTGACCTGGATTGGAATGTTTATTATGTGAAGTGCCTTGAGACGACTCTTGTTGTGATTTGGCGCTATATAAATAAACTTGAATTGAAACTTGAATTAAAAGCATTTATTATGTATCAATAAAAGTCCTTATAAATGACACAGAACAGGCACAAATCTGGAATTAAACTTACTAACTTTGGTCAGACTCAGATAAGGAAGTGATGAAACTGAGTAAAATCACAGTTAGGAATTAATGATCTGATGTCCGAGCGACAAACAGGTGAGTGGATATTCCTTACATGGGAAGTCCCACTCACACATGTAATGAGTTAATTTACATATTATTTAATGAACCATGAGACATGAGGTCCCATACGAAATATGGAATCAATTTGATGGATCTTTGGGTACCTTTAACCAGAAGATTGGAACTTTTTATTGCAGGGATTATGTAACACTTCATATTGACTGAGAGACAACAGAAGAGAGAGTCAAGTTTTAAAAGTTTAAAGATTTATTACTAAACAAATTAAAACTAGACTAACTTTAACACTAAATGTATGGTGTTACTAAGGTGAAGTGAGACAGAGAATGGTGTAGTGTGGAATGTTGTTCAGAACCAGCAAATCTGGAGAAACGATTAGTTCTGATGGGAGTGAAGATGTCTTCACGCTAAGCTTTGATTAGGAGATTCATTAACACATTCAACGCCATTCTGTCGGTCTACATACCCTAGTGGAAGTCCCCGTCTAGATCAGGAGGTGTGGAGGTCTTGCTTGGACCTTCCTAGAGCCCAAGCTCATAGAACAGCAGCAGCGGCTGACCAGTCCAGTCTTTGAGATACTTCCGGGTCACGACAGTTTATCGGCATCTAACTAGACCCAAAACTGGGTCGTGATGGTTCAGCTGTTATTCTGAAAGGAACCGTTGCAGCAGGTGGAACGGCAACAGGTTTATCCAGCTTGTCGTTGGTTCTTTCGGCTGAAGAGAAGAGTTATGGATTGGCCACTCCGTCAGCTTCTCTTGAACGCTTTGAACTGGCGTTAAAGATGACGTGGGCATAGTTTTATCCTTGGGATGTTTTGGTTTATGGTTGAATGAAAAGATGACAGATTTACCAAGCACCACCAAAACCACGCCTCCGTCAGATCTGGCAGATTGTGATTGGATCAGTAAAAGCAATGTGTCATGTCTTAACGCTACGTGAGATCAGTCCCTAGTGGAAACATTTAAAGTCATATTACTTATTATATTCTATAGGATTATAATATCAAGTAATTCATATTTTCATTTTACAGATTGGTGTCATGAGCCGGGGTGAGTACTCTTCACTTCATATACAACCTCTGAGCTCTGATTGCAGGAGAGGGAGCAACAGCTGTTCCTCATCAGCGGGCCGGCTTTATAAGGAGGAGGGTGACCATGCTATGACGCCGGATGATTGCTACTAACTGGTAGTCACTTGCCCTTCGAGTTTCGCTAAGACTTTGATTCGATTTTTGTGTGCTTGGATTTTTGATGACTCGCTCATGTGAATTTTTGGTACTTACCTCAGGTCTCTGCATCCTTGGACCTGCATTCTCTGGAAGAAGTTCTCTGGTTCGTTTCCTGCTTCACCTCTCTTCCAGCCGACCCGCTCTCCACCGCGCTCACGCTCCCTCTCCAAATCAGCCTCCTCAACCAAATCCTCCATACATTCATCCTCTTGGACCGCAACCGCACTTGGATATCACCCCGGCTCACTCCCCCTCCATTTTCCTGCTTCACTTCCGCATAGTAAGTCCTGACTACAAACTATTTCCCAAGAACTATAGCTCCCATACTCACCTCTGTTTTCCCTGTAGACCAGACCTGGGCATTTTACGGCCCGCGGGCCACATACGGCCCTTTGGTTGACTTTGACTGGCCCGCGTAAGGTTAATTGGAAATTACAAAATAAATGTATTTTCTCATTTTACCTCATGCATGGGCTAAGGCTGCATTGCTTTTATTTTGAAGTTGTTTTTTTACGTGCACAATGACGCAATACGTATAGCAACAAGTGCCCGCGGTTGACATGGTGATGGTAGCCCCAGAAATGTCCGCAAATGCAAAAAAAAAAAAGAAAAGAAAAAAGAAAGATGCCGAATGCAGGATTTTCAACAAAAATTGGACTGCTAAGTATTTTTTTACTGAAGTCGGAGGCAAAGCCTTGTGTTTGGTTTGCGGGGAGGAGATTGCCGTGTTTAAGGACTACAATTTGAGTCGGCATTACGACAAGAAACACTCGGAAAAATACAAGAACTCATCTGATGCTGAGAGCTGAGAGGGCACGGACATCCGAAGCTTTGCTAGCAAAGTTGCAAACACAGCAAGGCTGTTTTACTAAGCTTCACACATCCAGGGATGCAGCAACCAGGACCAGCTTTGTGATATCCCACAAAATAGCTAGAAACAGCAAGCCGTTTTCGGAGGGAGAGTTTGTCAAAGAGTGCATGGTGGACTCTGCCGCACTAATATGCCCTGAAAAAAAAGGCGCAGTTGAGTTCGCTGTCCAGGCGAACTGTGGGGAACCTGGAGCTTCAGCTGCAATGTGAAGTGGCAAGTTTGGACTTTTTCTCATTGGCCTTAGACGAGAGCTGTGATGTCCGGGGGATAACAGAGCTCACAGAGGAGCTGGCAGCAATGCGGTCGATGAAAGGGACAACGACAGGGAGTGATCTTTTTACTGTAAAGAGGTAAATGCGTGCGCGGACACTCTGGGATTGAAATGGGAGAGACTGTCAGGTGTCACAACAGACAGTTGTCCAAATCTTACAGGGAAAAATGTCGGACTTTTGAAACGCAAGATAAAGTGACAGAAATCGATGCAGATCAAAAATTGGTGTTTTTGCATTGAATTATACACCAACATGTGTTGTGCAAGTCAGTGCTAAAAATCAACCATGTTACTGATGTTGTTACTAAAATAATAAACTTCATCAGGGCACGGGCAATGAATCACAGACAGTTTGTGGCTCTTTTGGAGGACTCCACACAGCTGTCAGATGGCTCAGCCTGGGGAAAGTGCTGAAGAGGGTTTGGGACTTGAAAGCAGAGATTCAGGATCTCTGCTGGATTTCTACTCTTCTCTTAAGGAGGTGAACTTTCCAAACCTGAAGAGACATGCTCAGAAGATGTTGGTTTTCTTCGGCT